ATTGGCACAGGACAGAGCGGAGTTTAGGGCTGTTGTACATAGGGTCGCTATGAGTCGCAAACGACTCGACGGCACATAACAACAACAACAACCATATTAGTGGAAGTTCTTTTTCCCAACAGTATTCCAACAGTAGCTTTCCTTCATTAATGGCTAGTACAGTATAATTTAAATTTTAAAAACAAGACTGGAAAGATTAAAATAACAATGGAACTTAAAAAAAAATGTAATGCTAGAATAAATTTTAAGTCCCAGTTAGTTGTAATATTTGGAATTTAAAGATGTTTATGAGGTTCATTAGGAAATGCACGCTACACGTGGAGTAACAGGAAAAGTATGGATGGTTAGGGTATAAAAAGGATTTGCAAATGAAATTCCATTATCTATTACTTGGTAATTCTCTGGAAAAAAAAAGGCCTAAACTTTTTAGAAACAATTCCTGTCTGCCTTTTCTGCTTTGAAACTATGCTGATGTCACTGTCTGCCTCTTCTGGGTCAAACAGAATCTCATTTGAGGCCATGTTTACTATGTAACATTCTATCCTTCAGTTAAAGTTACAGGCTAATGACTCAGTTGCAATATTAGAAATTTTAAAAGCTATAGCCATATGTGTGTACTGATGATTATGCTCAAATAAGACTTGAAAGCTAAACAAACATGTACTTTCACGCATTCATATGCATAACTCTACTAACTGGCATAAAATGAAAATAGCTAGTGTAAAATATTTTAATAATTATTACACTTGTACAGTCAAACTGAATGTGTAACAAATCTGTTTCCATTTTTTCCTTCTCTATTTAGTAAGCCCTACCTACACAAAATTACCAGAGATGATCAGAATTTTCTTAATACAATCGCCTCTGATGTTGTTACTACATCTGGCATCCATGATTTAAAAGGCAATGTCCAGATCTTACTCTCCAGGTAATAGGGCTAAGTTCCCCTAAAACAGTCTAGAATTTTATCATTTCATTCATACTTAAATTAGTCCACCTAATTTCTAATAACAAACTCTAGTATCAGTCATTTCTAACTTCTTCCTGTCTTCAATGTTAGACAATATAATACCAAATGACAGTAATTTCTGGCTTAAATGTAAATTGTTTTGTGTTTGTGGCTATTCAAATACTAGAAGATTTTAGTGTCCAGAGCACGGGCAGGAAAGTTTTATTTCTCAGCTCCTCTTAACTGGAGAAGAAGATAATATATTTGGATTCATTATTACTTGAGTCCCAATAGTGTCCTAGTGAAAGTACAATTTAAAGCACAATTTAAGAAAGAGAAGCTCAAGGCTCACATCTGATAGACAGATCTTTGTTTGTTCATTGTTGTTAGGTGCAGCTGAGTTGACTACAACTTACAGAAACTCTGTGAATAATGGATCTGAACGCTGCGCTCTCCTCACAATCTCTGACATGCTCAAGCACACTGCTACAGTCAACCTATCTTCTTGAGGTTCTTCCTCACTACTCTGACCCTCTACCTTTCTCAGCATGATGTCTTTTTCCCAAAGACTGTCTGTTTCTGACAGCATGCCCAGAACATGAGATGACATTTCACCACCTCTGCCTGTAAGGAACACAGTGGTTGTATCTCCTCTAAGAGAGAGACGTGTTTGTTCTTCTGGCAGTACATGGGGCATTCACTACTCGTTTCCAACACCACAACTAAAAGGCATCTATTTGTCTATATACTCTTACATTTAAAAAAATGTTACCATTTACATGCTGGGTAGCTTCATATAAAATGTTGGATTTCTAGGCTCTTTTTGAAAAGTTGAGGAATACTGAACTCATATCCACAGGGTGACAATTAACTCACTCATTCACTTACTGTCATTGAGTCAGAACTGACTCATAGCTAAACCTCCAGTGGGTTTTTAGAGGTTACAAATCACATGGAAGGAGACTGCCCATCTTTTTCCCATAGAGAAGCCAGTGGACTCAAACTGCCCTGTCTTCGGTTTGGCAACACAACTCCTTACTTACTAGGCCACCGGACTTCCTTAACTACTAACTAGTGCTACACAATGGTTAAGGAGTTCTGGTGGTATAGTAGTTCAAGTGTTTACCTGCTAACTGAAAAGACTGCAGTTCCAAACCACTCATCACTCTAAGATGGGACAGATTACTTCACAGCCCCAAAAACCCAATGTAGGGTCACTATGAGTTCTGAGTTGACTAGAAGAAGGAAGTAAGTAGCCGCTTTCCATTATACCCAACACACTGCCATCAAGTCAGAACCCACCCATGGCTGACCCTCTAGCAAGTTTTCAGAAGCTATAAACTGTAAAGGATAAGATATTCTATCTTTTTCCCTCACAGCAGCTGTTGGATTCAAACTGCCTCCTTTGGGTTGGAAGTGAACCCCTTACCAACTATCGTCCTGAGCACTGTACACAGAGAGCCAGCCACATATTCCAGTTTGTTCAAGTTCTAGCACTCCCAATTGTTCCCTGATGAGAGGCCATTTTTTTTTTTAATAACTGAATTCATACTTTTATGGTATGAGTTCCTAGTTTGCAGAAAGTTACACACTACACACACACACACACACACAGAATGATATTTCTGTTGTGTTGTCAAGTTGAAACTAACTCATAGCTGAACCTCCCACAGGTTTTCAGAAGCAGTAAAGACCATGAAAGGAGACTGCTGATCTTTCTCCTGCAGAGCAGCTGATGGATGAGCTGGTAGAAATGAGTGCCTTTGGGTTGGCAGAGCAACTCCCTATCCCTAGGCTACCAGAGCTCTATCACACAGATTGGTAGTATATTAGTTTGTAGAAATCTAGAGCGTAGAACATGCCGTATATAAAAAGCTTTCTACCACAGAACACCTAGGAGTTTTCATTCATTTTTTAAATTTCTTTGACTTTCCTGAGCATTCACTTAGCAACTCCTGGTATTCAGTGGAAAAAAAAAAGTAAGATATGTATAGGACCACCAATATAAAATGCCAAATTCTAACTAACTAACTAACTAACTAACTAACTAACTAACTAACTAACTAACTTTGAGCTGTGGTGCTGGAGAAGAGTATTGAGAATACCATGGACTGCTAGGAAAAAAGGTTAAACCGGGTGGCTCCTTGGAGGCAAGGATTCTGAGGCTCCGTCTAACATACTTTGGACATGTTGTGAGCAGAGACCGGTCTTTGGAGAAGGACATCATGCTTGGGAGGATTGGAGGGACAGCGCAGAAGGGAAAGACCCTCTATGAGGTGGATTGATTCAGTGACTGGGATAATCGGGATGGGAGTGTCAGAGACAGTGCGATTGACACAGGACAGAGCAGAGTTTAGGGCTGCTGTACATAGGGTCCCTATGAGTCACAAGCGACTCGATGGCACATAACAACAACAACAACTAACTAACTCTCTAACACTCTCACACTCTCTCTCTCTATACACACACACATACATATACACATACACACACATACATATACACATACACACACATACATATACACATACACACACACACACACATATATATACATATATACATATATTGCTAGGAAAGCCTACTCCTCAGAAAGGTATTTCATGCTTGGAAAGGTGGGGGACGGTCACCTAAAGAAAGGAAGATCCCCAACATGATGGATGGACATGGTGACTGTAGCAATGAGCTCAAGTGTATCAGAGATGATGAGGACGGCAGAGGGTAGGACAGGATTCAGACCTGTTGTTCGCTATGAATCAAACTTGACTTTATGGTATCTAACAACAATAACAACAAATTCACATACATACACACACACACACACACGCATATCAAAATCAAACAGGGTTCCTCTTAGTTCACTTTTTCTCTCTCTTCATCTTGTTCGCCCTTTAAGCCATGACCATTAACAAGGTAGGGAGCTCTGCTGGCCCAGTTTGTAGAGTTGCACTGCTAACCCAAGGGAATACCACTCTGGTACAAATCCACCATCACCTCCTTGGCAGGGAGCTGGACATTTTCTTCCTGTGCAATTTACAGCCTTCCAAAACCCACTGGACGGTCAGCAAATAATTAGTTCTAACTCATGGGACAGTGAATTTAATTTGATTACTTCTTTAGGCTCATGTTTTTTTCATCCCTCTTACCTTTCTTATTTTGAGTAATGGTACCATGATTCAGAGAAAAACTTCCATTTGAATTAGTACACCTGGGAAAAGTACCTAAGTGCTCAAAGCCCAAGTTCCTGTATCTGTCAAGTCATGGTACAACAGGGGATTCTGAAAGAAGGAAAGTATTTTTTTTTCCCCAAAAAATTCTTTTATATTGGTTTGTTTATAAAGTTTGTATACATTGTGTTTCCCATTATTCTTTATTCACATTCTGTTTCATATAATTATTCCCATGTATTATGTTTTAAAAAGTTCACCATCATTGGCCTATGCCCATCATGACCTTGTAGGAAAGTATCTTTGAACCATGGCCCAGAGCAGTTCTTTATTTGAAGAGTAAGGAAACTGATCACATGCTCATCTCCCAAGACCCCAAAGTAATTAATTTTTTGTTTTTTAAAAGATTAAACTAGAGGGAAGTCTGGACAGATAAATGAGACTGCTAATTATACATTTGACTCATAGAGAAATTTTAAGTTAGGAATAAAAAACTTTCAGGGGAAAAGAATTTAAACAATACATACCACTTTTCAAACTTGAGACACCTAAAGACTGGGCAGAGAGAAGCGTCAACCGATGGTCAGTATCCTGGATGTAAGCCATAGTAGTCATTGGGTAGACATTTGCTTGAAGAGGCAGTTTGCTCATTGTCATCCTAGGTTGAATCTAAGGCCAAAAAATGATTTTTTAAAATCAATTGGCATTACCTATATATAGTTAAAAACAACTATCAATTATAGATTGAAAACTTTCCTATGAAAAAGAGTAACAAAAAACTAGTTTCCTTTCTTGCCCAAGGGAAGGGCTAATTTAAAAAAGTGAAATGTCTAAAAAAAAATTATGAGGATAAAAGAAAATAATTTTTAAGTGAAAAAGGTAGAACATAAAACAAGCATTTCAATTTAAATTCAGAATGAAAATGCATAAGAAAAGCCTCCTAGCTCTCAGTATTTGCATAAAACAAATTATAAAGGTATTAAGTATTCATTTCTGATCTAAATCTAACATACTGCTTTTGTAATGAATGCTAAGTATAATAGCTCTCTATCCACTTTCAAGAAATATCTCTTATAGTACTTGAAAGAGTAAGTTTTAATACATACAACAGATCTTATGACAAAATCCTCTGTATCATAGTCAAATTTGTATTTATATGGAAAAACTGATGCTTATTTTTCATGTTTAGTTTCAAAATAAGTAGATTTGTATTATCATTTTTATACAACTAGTATCTGAATGTGAAAAATGCAAGTCTAACTTTATTTTTGGATTTTGACAGTGCCCCAAAGCTAGCTTTAGTGAAGGTAACATCTTCTAACTGCAGAAGGAGACTTCAAACAGATCTTGTTACAAGAGTCTTACTCATATCACTTACAAATTCCATGGAAGACACACTGTATAGGGTACACCAAACTTAAGAGTGAAGAAAGAATTTATGAATGGATAAAGATTAATAGCTGAACAACAACTCATCGTCATCAAATTGGAACCAACTCATAACTGACCGTACAGTGGATTTTCAGAGGCTATAAACTGCACAGGAAGAAAGTGCTCATCTACCTTTCTCCATGTATTTAGTTAACAATTACTATCAATCCACCAGAGCAGCTGGTGGATTCAAACTACTTGACTTTGGGTTGGCAGCACATCTTCTCGTTCAACAGGCCACCAGAGCTCCCTTGCTGAACAATATGTTTTTGTTGTTGTCATCGAGTCGAGCACAACTCATAGTGACCCTATGAACAAAAGACCTGAAGCCTTTCTATAACTATTGTCATTTCTCAAAGTTCATAGAATTTTCAGAGGCATGTTGTTTAGGAAGTGGATGCCATGCCTGCTTCCAAAGTTGAAGAAGACAGAGAATATAATTCCCATCACTGAACTGTACAAGTGAAAACTGTGAAATAGTAAATACTTTCTGAACTATACTAAAACCCTCAAATTTATTGTCTTGAAGTTGTAACAGATTCATATCTGACCTTCTAGTAGGGTGCCAAGGCTCTAAATCACATAGGAGGAAATTGCCATTTTTCTTTCTCAGAGCTGCTGGTGAAATTTAGTCACCAGCGAGGCATGACCTTTGAGTTAACAACTCTCTGTGGACTAGGTCACCATAGATAAAAAAATTTTAAGGGGATAAAAAGAACAATAATAAATAAAAAGAAACCTTTTAATTTTTTCACTTTGATAAAGGTTTACTGTGAACCCCTCTCCAAAAAAAAAAATACATAATTTTATCATAATAGCTAAAACTGAATGCCTATTAAATACTAGGCACAGAACTAAGTAATAAATAAAACCTTCAATTTTCACATCATCCTGCAGAATGTCCATTCACTTACAGATGAACAACTATACAATATTTCATTTTTCAAAATTACCTAAAGAATTTTCCATTTCTTATTATGGTTATGACAAGAGTCCAGAATGAAGATTGCATAGTGGATTGTACTCGGGGTGGGGGTGGGGTTATGGTATACCAATGAAAGAAGTTTTCTTTTACTTTTCAAAGAGTAAACTGGGGGAGAGGTGTGGCAGGGAGAAAAATGGAACAATGAATGAATGGAAATCCAAAATCTCTGTAAACGTTCATTAAGATAATAATAATAATAATAATAATAATAGTAATAATAGTAGTAGTAGTAGTAGCAGTAGTAGTACTAGTACTAGTAATGCTTAAACCTCCATAACCAGTTAGCTGCCACTGAAAGCCCCACCCATAGCTCTAGATTTCTAGTTTGGTCCAACTACCACTCCTTCAAAAGCTTAAAAAAGGGTTTATTTTAAAATTCTTTACAGACTTAAAATAACATTTTCATATTTATTCAAGTATTCAATCTCTGAAAAGAATTCACACTCTCATATTCATTTTAACTAAGTTTTTCCATTCATGTGTACACCCACACATAAAAATAATTGCTTCTGTAGAATTTTAAGAAAAGACTTTCGTACACAAGGAAAATGAATCACCATAAAGTCAGGGTTTCATTTGAAAACCAACAGCTGTAGTAGAATTAATGTGTTAGTTCAAAATGTGTGCTGCAATTTTTATGCTTTGAAAATGGTTTATTTTTAACTTTTGGAGAAAAATCATGGAAGAGAAAATTGTCACAATTCTTTCCACTCCATCCCAACTGAGAACCAGAGAAGCATTAGTTGTGAAATTATTTCTCGTCCTACCTAAGCATGTCTAAAACACTAATATTTCTAACATTATTAATGTTTCCTAATATTATCATTTAAAATATATTATGTCCTGCAAATACATTCTGAATATTAAGACTTAGTTAAAAATCAAAGGACTATTATTAAATTGGATAGGAGGCAGCCTAAAAAATATGAATCAATTTTTTACCATGATTTTAACTGTTTAGTGAACATTTGAGTAAATACACATCTACTTTCATTTCTTTACATTCTTTCATTTCTTTACATTCATTATTACATATGTATTTGTACATGCATATCTACACTCATAAATACACACATACAAACCATAGTGGGGTGGGGAGAGGACAGAATAGTTCTCTTAAAATCTAAAGGAGTTCATTATTAGATTATACGAAAATAACCTGTCAGATGCCACCTGAAATCCACCCATAACTCTAAATTTCTAATTCGGTCCAACTACCACTGCTTCAAAAACATTAAAAAAAAAGTTTACTTTAAAAGCTTTGGTTGTTGTTGTTGTTGTCATTATGTGCTGTCAAGTCGCATGCAACCCACAGTGACCCTATGGTCACTATGAACCCTGCTCTAACCTGAGCCAACCTTATTGTCTCTGACACACCTATCTCATTACCAAAGACACTGAGTCAATCTATCTTGAAGGACTTCCTCTCCTGAGCTGTCCCTCTACCCTCCCAAGCATGACATCCCTCTCCAAGGACTGGTCCCTCCTTGCAACATGTTCAAAGTATGTCAGAAAGAGCTTCAGAATCCTTGCCTCCAAGGAGTAGCCTGGTTTAACCCTCTCCAGGATGAACCGTTTATTTTCCTAGCAGTTCATGGTATACGCAATACTCTTCCCCAGCACCACAGCTCAAAGGCATCAATTCTTCCTCTATATATAATCAATTAAATATTAATAGGCTAATTTTTTAAGTGAAAAAGAAAAGTAAAAACTAGTCAATAATTACTAATCACAATTCCTTGCAATCAGACAAATTTATATTTAATTTTAGTATTAAAATACTTGACATACACAATGATCACTAAAAGGAGCCCCAGGCCGGTAGCATCATAGCCTAAGTGTTGGGCTGCTAACCAAAAAGTCACAGTTCAAACCCATCATCTGATCCTCCAAGGAATAAAAAGGAATTAGTTTCCACTCTTAAGACTCTCTTCACCTTTTTACCAGAATGACAGAGGTTGGGGGTTGGTGGTGAAGTAACAGGAAAGATTCAACTGGGGACTTGGAAAATGGGGTGTAGATTATAGCTAACTAATGATATAAAACATAATGTATAAGAATTATTGAATAAAACTCAAAGTACATGTACAAAATATGTATATGAATGCTTGTATACAAACCAGCACAGATTTTTTAAAATGGGGGGAAAGTTTATGGAATGAAATTTTGGGTAAAATATTAAAAAAAAGTATTTAAATAAAAATCAATGAGTTTTGAAAATAAAAAAACCAACCAACCCTTACAGTTTTGAAAACCCAAAGAAGGCAGTCCTGAAACATAATTAACTCAATGGAAGTGAGAGAATTTATTTTTTTTAATGGTGGTCAAATTGTCCTTCATAAAATAGAATCCTTATAAACAGGTGTTCTACAAATTGTCTATTAAATATTTGTTTTAATTTTGGATATTATCTTATAATATAGAGCCTATAATTGTTAAAATTTAGTTTTACCTTAACAATCATTTGCAACCTTATTCTTTCCAATGGATCAAAATTAACTGGCTTATTATCATATAAAAATTACATACAGATAAAATAATTTTGATGGAAAATTACCTGGTATCCATTTAGGTCAGAATAAAATCTATTTTGGTTGTTTACGTCAGAAGAAATTCTCATTGCAATCTCACGGTTATACTCTTTTCTGATGTCTACAATATTGGAAATTTCCACAGATTGTCCTTCTATTCCTAAATTTAAAAATAATACATATGTTGAAGTTAGTAATTGACTCACTCCCACTTTTCTTACATAAAATGTATAAAATTCCTTCCAAAGTTACATATATTTCCCTGCTTTATACTTGTCTTTATCAATTTTCATACATTAAATGATATTCCAAGTCCTTTTCTTCCTCTCTACCCTTTTTTTTTTAAACAAAACAAAATATAAGTGGGGACACAAAAATTTAAAAGAAGGATAATGAAGTTAGAATGCGATATACAATAACGAACAACAGAATACGAATACCAATATTCATAACAGCACTATTTACAACAGTCAAAAAGTGGAAGCAAAACATTGATCAATAGGGACAAAATATGGAATATACATGCGATGGAACAGCACTCAGTTATAAGAAGATACCAAGTCCTAATACATATCACAACATGGATGAACTTTGTAAAACATACTGAGCAAAATAATTCAGCCACAAAGAAAAAAACAACAGTATGAACTCATTTAAGTGAAATATTGGGAATAGGAAAATGTACAGACACAAAGTCTATTAGATGTTACTAGGGATGGTAGGGAAGGGCAAAAGGAGTGGTTTGCTGAGGAGACAGTGAACCCTCTGCTGATTGTTGTTGTTGTTGTTATGTGCCGTCGAGTCATTTGCGACTCATTGCGACCCTATGTACAACAGCCCTAAACCCTGCTCTATCCTGTGCCAATCTCATAGTGGTAGAATAATTTGGAAATGGATAGCAGAGATGGTTATACAGCATAATGAATATAACCAGTATCACAGAATTATGTAGTATTATTATTATTACTGTAAAATAAAAAAAGATAACACACAAATGACTGTGTAATAAGTTCTAGGGAATGGAGTGGATGTTAATAAGAAATGATCAATCGCATTGCAGTCTAGTCGTCTCTTATCTACATCACCATTTCTTAAAATAGCCATTCTAGTCCAATTCTTTCAAATTCCCTCTTTATACACTAGAACCTCTGAGGCAGTTAATATCTACACTCTGCAGAGATTACTGCCCACATCTATATATCTAGGAAGAGAAACGGGAGATCTAATAAGATGATTTATGACTGGAACCGGTATTACCATATTAGCATCTGCGGAGTATAATCTAGAGAGCTTCCTGGATGTCAAATCAAATTTAATTGAGCTTGATATCTCTTAGGACTCCTTTTTTATGGTATGATCCATTTCCCCCTTAGCTATTTGAAAAACGTCCCAAAAGTATCAAACATTTTTGGGATAAGCTGACATTGTTGCTCGTTTCTGCCATCTCACCCTAACTGGAGCTGCAGCTATTCAGCAAAGCGATGGGTCTATTCCTGAGATGGACACAGAAGTTATGAAGAAATTTAGCTCTCCAAATATAGAATATTTATGAGGGACCTCACAGGATCTTATAATAAAAGGAACAGTTGAAAAAGAGACATCAGGAAGATTTATCCTATCATATTTTATACAACTGAAGTTTTTTTTGTGTCAAGGACCTTAGAAATTTGCCTACAGTTTTAATTTTTGTTACACCCCTCTCCCTAATCCTCACAAACACTGCAACTAGCTCATTTATTAAACAATGAGGGATGTATGAATAAAATAGGAGACAAAAAGTGTACAAGAAAGACTCGTTTTAGAATATATGAAGAATCCACAGAGCTTACAGACCAAAAAAATCCCAAACAAAACCCACTGTCATTGAGCCAATTTCCAACTCATGATGACCCTCCGGCAGGTTTCTGGTGCCATAAATATTTTCATAAGGAGACTGCCGATCTTTCTTCTGTAGAAAGTAGTTGGTGGATTCAAATTACTGACCTTTCAGCTAGCAGCTCAGTATATAACATAGTACAAGCACTCCACAGAGCTTATTGAAGATGACAGCAAACAGTTAAAGACATTTTTATCTATGCAGTATGTAGAAAAGGACATAAGTGACTAATCCTGGCCCCACCCCTAGGTAGCGCAAATACAAAATGCACTTAGCTGCAAACTGAAAGATTGTGGGTTTGAGTCCACCCAGAGGTACCATGGAAGAAAGCTTAGGCTACCAACTTCCTAAAAAAATCAGCTATTGAACTCCTTATGGAACACAGTTCTACTGTCACATATATTGATGGTGTGGCTAATAAGTCACAGTACACTGGATGGGAGCTGGGGATTTTTCTTGTTGTCTTGTTCCAGGCATTATATGTTTATGTAGAAACGAGGTTAGAAATTATAAAACATAAACAATAACAAGAATAAAGAGACAAATACTAAGCAATCTAAAGCCCATACTACCAGCATTTCTAGAAGGCTCAAGAGCTTTCTGTTTGCAGATGGTGCTCTTCCAACTCAATACCTCAACTAGTATAGCAGAGAGCTTAACTATATTATGTGTCTGATCTCTGCACAATGGTGTGGTTGGGGACAGACAGATATTTCCCTCCTTGTTCTTAATGGCAAAAGCATGAACCACTTAACTCTGACAGCTGAACATGCACATACATATCCCCTGAGAATTACCTAAACATCCTAAAAATGAATCATGTGTTTCCCCTACTACTGGAAAATTAAGGAGACATGACGGCACAGTGGTTATGTGTTGCGCTGCTAACTAAAAGATCAGCAGTTCGAATCAACTAACCTCCAGGGGAGAATAATAATCTCCTCTCCTACAGATTTATACTCTTAGAAACCTGATGGAGGGTAAAGATGAGTAGCAATTGACTTGACGGCAATGAGTTTGGTTTTAAGTGTTTGGAAAGTAAACAAACAAAAGCTGATGATAGAAAAGTTCTCTAAGAGAGGAAATCTTTTACTCTAAAATTCAAACTTTCCATTTAGCATGATTCCAGAAACAGAGCAATTTCCTAAAGCCATAATGAAAATGTATACGGAATTTTAATAGACATATGCCTTCAAATGAACCAAAGTTGCCCCCAACACAAAATGTAGCAGTAGGGAGAGCAGCAGTTGGTAAGGAGGAGATTATGTCTTTTGCTGGAAGCATTTGCAGGCCTTTCAGCATGGTTTCATTTTTCCCTCTCTACACTGAATATTCTCTCAGGGGTCAACAGAATATAGGAAAAGGAAAAAAATCTTAACAAGGGAGGACATCATTCATTTCAATTCCCTATCTCTGGAAATATTTACAAAGAACATGCTTAAGGAAAAATTAATAATTTCATGTTACCTCTGGCACTAATAAATTATTTCCGTGGAGACAACCATCTTTTACTCACTCCATCTAACACTCAGATCTTGTGGTGACAAATGCTTAAAACACTTTAAAGGTAGCTCTGTGTCCAATCACAACTGAGCAAGGCATTCATTTACATTCTTTGCCAGAAAAGGCTTATAAAATGAGATCAAACTGAACACTATAATTATGAATAAATAAAATGAAAGCAAACTTAACATAGTAATAAAAGAAAATATCCCTGAATTTCTCAAAGGGAATGTATTAGGGTTTTGTTTTTTTTTTTTTCTCTTTTTGGTTTTGAGAATATTATGAGGTGGAAAATGCTAACTTTTCCTCAGAGTCAAGTCTTCACAGAGGTGTGCTCTGAGGGAAGGAGTGGGAGAACTTTGCAGAAAGCAGAGTTATTATACGCCCAGTGGTCCTACCAACAAGCTAGAACTTCATTGTATGAGGCTCTGCTGTATGGTTTGACCCTCATGTGGTATATTGAACGGTGGCCCTCAAAACATCCAAGTTTCAACGCTTGGAATCTGTGAACATGATCTTAGTTGGAAAAGGATCAGTACAGCTACAGTTGGGGATCTTGAGATGAGATCATCCTGAATTACCCATGTGGGTTTTGAATCCAGTGACACATCACTTAGAAATCAGAAGAGAAGTAGACACAATTTCATTTCAACAGCAGAGACTGGAGTCACAAACACTGTAGCCACTAGCATCTTGGGAGGGAGGGCAGCCCCGTGGGCAGCTTGATCTCAAACTGTTTGGCCTCTAGATACCTAGTGTGCTGTTATTTGCTTGGAAGTGCAGAAGAGTTAATACAAGCATGACTGCTCAGGGATTTCTCAGTTTTCTTTGGTTTCTTTTTTAAATTTTTTCCTTCTATCTACTCCTGAAAAGAAAACCAATTCCTACCTGAAAGTTCCGTCTTTTACATGAGTGTGTCTTTATTTCTGACTGTACACATTCCCAGGTTTCAACAAAGAGATATAACACTTTGTTCCTGCTAACACTTCACACTATCCACAAAGAGAATGGAGGCTGTTTAACACAGGTAAGCAAGGTGAAGATAAAGCCAATCCATAGGTGAAACACTTCAATTAAGGGGGGAGAAATTCTTTCAGGAGGTGTCCTGAAATTCTTTCAGGAGGATGTCATTTGTCTGTATATACTCGAGAGCTTCCAAGCTCACTCCTGCATTTAGCTTACACTCCTTTGGTCTCACACAACACCTTTGCATTTCCATTCCTAACAATGTCTTAAGTACATAACAGGTGCTGAATAACTATTAAAGAGAATTGGGCAAGATTTAAGAGGTTTTATTTCATCATGCAGAGGTGATATGGGAGTAAGCAAACCAGGCTAAGGACAAGGCTCAAACAGCTGGAAAGATAAAGGAACAATAAGCAAATGTGTGGCATGTGAATTCGACAAGTACTGTTCAAGCGATTTAAGGGCAGAGTCTACATCTTAATTTTATGTGCCTAGCATACAGTAAAGGTGTGACAAGTATTTGCCAAAAGAAGGGTGGTAATTACGAGGAGAGACTGACTAGTGGTTGGGAGCTGTTTCTCTAACCTGGGGGCCTGGGGGTGGGGTGGGATTACTTGCCCACAGTCACACAGGTGGCAAGGCCAGGACTAAAACTCTCAACCATCATGTCTTACTTGACAGATTACTAACTAGAGCAGGTATTTTAAAACCAAAAGCAAGGAGAAGCTCTGGAGTGGTTCTGAACAAAGACCTTTACTTTCCTTTTTAAAGATATTAATTGGAATCTGATATTTTAATTCAAAACCCCTCTGTTG